TAGTTATCAGAATCAGGAAATTTAACAATTCAGTTCTATTATTAACCTACAATCCATATTCGAAACTATTCCAAATTTTCTAGTAGTCACAGTTAGACAGTAGAAACAGGTGAAATTAATTTTAGCAATGTTAACTTTTAATATTGCTATGTAGAGTCCTTTATGGCAATTTTCTTAGATCAGGAGATTGTTGTTTAAACAGGCAGGGTCAAGGGGTTGAGAAGCGCTGACCCGGGCCTTAGCAGAGTAAAAAAAACAGCAGCAGGCACGAGAGTACCAACCGTGGGCTTTACACACAGCACACGAGGAGCCAAGCACTTGGGTGAGGTACTTTATTTGGGACTTGATCCCAGGAGGCAGGAGTTAGGGAGTGGGGAGAATGAGACAGGCAGGGGGAAAGCCAACAAAGGTGCTCATGGAGTGGAAGCCGTTGTGGGCAACTGGGACTCAGTCCCATGGGGGGAGACCTCTGAGGAATCTTGTAGAACACACGTTGCCAGCTTCTCACCACTGACTGCTGTCCCCCATAGGCTGAGGGTTGCCCCTGAGCCAGCTCACCTCCCATAACTCCCAGAAAACCCTCAAGCAGAGGAGCAGAGATGCTGGGGCTCAGGGCAGGAAGCTAGCAGCCTCCTGGGAACCTTCTCCTGCAGCTGCAGGTGAACTCCAGTAGGCAAGAGGGTCCTGGGGTTGAGGCATTAACATCTGCTGCCACAACATGTACTTAATTCACTGTAACATCGTAACAGCCACATGAGGGGAGGCACTATTACGATGTCCATTTCACAGATAACGACGTTAAATCACTTGCCTATGATCATGTAATCAGTAAATGTGGAGCTGGGATTCAAACCCAAGCATTCCAGTTCTGAGGTCCAAGCTGCTGCTGCTGCTTTTTTTTAGGGTTACAAATCGTAAGATTTTAATACTATTCCAAGCTGTGTAGAGTTTTAGTTGCATATCCAAATTCTAAAGTTATAGGTATAATTTACACATTCTCCAATTAACAATTTTGCATGGGCCACAAAGTTTAAAAGTAATCTTATTAGTCTGTCAACTCTCCACCCTGCTCACTTCTTATTTTTGCTGGGCATATAAAAAAAAGTATTGATCTAAAAATAAAACAGCCTGCTGTGAACAAGCTTCTTAATCACCACTCACCTACAACCTCCTTCCTCGAATCAGGCATTCCCCACCCCTCCCAACCTACCAGGCAAACTCCATACCAGGCGGGGAATGTCTCCTCTCCTGATTCAGGAGCCCAGCCCCAGTGGGAACTCTCTCATTGCCTGCAGCGCTGCCAGAAGCTCCCACCCTGGGGTTTGTTAGGGTTCAAGATCTTGAAATCAGGAATGAGCAAGAGGTGGGAGATGCAGAGAAATAATGGAGACTGGATGGGAAGGACCCTATTAGCTACTTTCAAGACGTTGGCTTTTACTCAGAGATGGAGCCAGGGCAGGATTAACAGTATCATCCTGATGAAAAATACTGAGGCTGCGAGAGATGAACAAGGTCAAGAAGGTCCCAAGTGACAAGAGTACTAACCAGAGACTAAGCTAAACTAGGAGCTGCAAAGCCTGTGACCTGGGGCGCTGTAGGCCCAAGCTGGGATCCTGCATTTCTCCCCTTAACCTAGTCCTCCTGCTTAGAAGCCTAGTCCTACCATCTGGTAAAGTCCTTATAATTCTTCAAATTTCAACCCCACTTTACGTAACTATTTGGGTACCTGCCTCCCCCACTGGTATTAGGGCAGAGATTGTTTCTCTTCCGTCCATCCTCCCTTTGGCCTAAGGTCTGGGCTCCTTTCCTAAGTCTCCTCCTCCTCTCAAATACATCTGCTAAGAATTCAGTTGCTTTCCACTTATTTAACTGACCTGGGTGTAAATACAGCTCAGGATTGCAAAATGCAGTACCCCAAAGAATGTCTAGGGCAGGCCCAGACAGACATGGGAGAGAGTCTGTCTGTGGGCTATGGGTCCATCTCTCCTCCCTCAACCCTGGGCCTTGCTGACAAAAATCCCAGCTTGTTGCTGAGGCTGGACTCCTTAGCCAGGTTTGAGGTCCCCACTCTTGCCTCAGGGGTTACCAGCCAGGCCTCGGCTCCACCATTT